AAAACCCCTCCCCCAGAAAGAAAGACACAGGACACGATGTTTAAGTTTAATGGGCATGAAATGGCCACAACTTTATTGATTAGAGAATTGAAGGTATTGGCCCTAGGCATTGGCTCCTATCCGCTACCCGGCATGATGTCCGGGAAGGGTTAACACTAACCGTGGGAGGCCCCCCGTTGGAGTACGCCAACTAGGATCCCACGTGTGTCACCGCTTGGGGCGTGCCGGGGGCCCTTACCTAGGTAGGTTTCGGACAAGACAACGCCCCTCGGAGTCCTGTACCGGACTACCCCATTTTCTGGGGGAAGGTGATGGCGTTCCTTCCCCCCCATCCATTTGCATAACAATTGAACCCCAGCCAATGCCTAACCGCCAATACAGGGAAAGTTGTGACGTTTTGCTACGAGGTAGGCGAAAAAACCAACTGGCGGAAGATCGCCAACTTGGAAAAATTCCTACCAGGCCCCTTGCGGCGACCAACCGAAGTCCATAGCAAGGTCGTGACTACCTACGGCCACCTAAGCGTCCAAGGGTGGGTGGGAAGGGAAAACCTCTCAGCTGGTCGGGAGTGAAGAGGGGGGACCCTGGGCGTGCCCGGCTTAAAATACCTTAAGCCACGCCTCCCCCCGGCCCGCCGATAGGCGGGCAGGGTCGCGAGCATGCCCAGGGATTCCCCCAACTCTCGCGGGGGCCAAGGTTAGCCCCGCGCTTGGGAGGGAGGGGCTAGACCGCAACCCCCTCTCCTCCCCATAGTCGGAAATGGCCTTGCGTGTCAAAACCCCTCCCCCAGAAAGAAAGACACAGGACACGATGTTTAAGTTTAATGGGCATGAAATGGCCACAACTTTATTGATTAGAGAATTGAAGGTATTGGCCCTAGGCATTGGCTCCTATCCGCTACCCGGCATGATGTCCGGGAAGGGTTAACACTAACCGTGGGAGGCCCCCCGTTGGAGTACGCCAACTAGGATCCCACGTGTGTCACCGCTTGGGGCGTGCCGGGGGCCCTTACCTAGGTAGGTTTCGGACAAGACAACGCCCCTCGGAGTCCTGTACCGGACTACCCCATTTTCTGGGGGAAGGTGATGGCGTTCCTTCCCCCCCCCCCATCCATTTGCATAACAATTGAACCCCAGCCAATGCCTAACCGCCACTCGAGCAAAGCTCGCCGCCAATACCTTCAAAACTATAACCAACTCCTATGCTCTGCTATGGAAACCCCTGAACCCAGGACCTAACCCCTGCGATGATATCACCCAACCATAGGTCGTTCCCTGCATCTGACAGATGCACGCCATCCCTTCTGTAGAGGGCCTCGTTGCTGAACTGGATGCCCGGGTGTCTGATGACGAACCCGCCCAGAGCTGCCACTCTACATTCCACCGCTCGTTCTAAAACCTTTCTCGCCTTGTTGACTCCTACTGGGCTCACGCAATACCTTAAGCCACGCCTCCCCCCGGCCCGCCGATAGGCGGGCAGGGTCGCGAGCACGCCCAGGGATTCCCCCAACTCTCGCGGGGGCCAAGGTTAGCCCCCGCGCTTGGGAGGGAGGGGCTAGACCGCAACCCCCTCTCCTCCCCATAGTCGGAAATGGCCTTGTTCAAAGTATTGTAAGCCTGAGAACTGTCCTATTTTTAATCTTTGTAAGTCAAACTGGGAGCCTTTGCAGATGAAGAACAGGGTAAAAATGCTTTAAATTGGTGGTTCTCAAAAGGTGTGGCAGGGGAGGATGGCAAGTGTGGCAGGAAGAGTCAAAGACAATCAAAGAAACATTTAAACATTTCAGTATAGTATAGTATAGTATAGTATAGTATAGTATAGTATAGTATGATTATTTTTTTGCACAATATGGACAGATCTTTTCAAAATGAGAGCAGGCGCATCAAGTGATACTGAGGACAAACCTAGTTGAGATCTTTTTGTTTTCCAATGTATTTCTTAAAAGTAAGAAATTTGGTGTGGTGCAAGCAAATTTCCCCCCTGAAAGTGTGGCCCAGAGAATAAAGTTTGAGAACCACTGCTTTAAATAAGACAAGCCTTTAAGGTGCTGCAGGACTTCTGGTTGTTTTGCTGTGAAGACCTAAATCAAGTACCTTCCAGAAGTGTTTTTTGCTTCTTAGTCTTCTGAGGAAGAAAGTCAGACTCCTCAAACTTCTCCTATGAAGCTGCAGCTGCTGTATATTGAGACAGACCACCTCTGGTCCATTAGTCTGAGATATTTTTAACTGGAGAGAAACCTAGGATTAAACATGAGACCTCCTGCATGTAAACATATGCCCCTCAAACTGCCCCTCACAGGCCTGTTCATAACAGGTGAGATTACTTCATTTTCTTTAAGACCTGCCTGCTTTTCTCAGCAATATATTTATTTGACTCTATGAGAGTATGAAAATACTGGTAAGTCATGACAACTTGAACAGTGCATCTTGGCGTCAAGGGAAAGCACAGTGCTTTAATGACAAAGGTTGGTTATAATTTTTTTCGTTCAAATGTGCAACAAAACCATGTCCTCCTAGCTGTGTTTCCCACATCAAAAAGTCAAACTGGAGAAAGAAAACTCTTTGTCACTTTCCTAATTTTTAGCACATGAAACCATGAAAAGCATACTATGCTCCATGGATAATTAACTCTGGGAACTAAAGGGGGGGGGGATAACAACTAAGAACATGCTGATCTCCTCTGCACTTGCACAGTTCACATAAACTGTGAAACTGAACATCTTGCTATCACAGCCAGCATATGGTCATCTGCTAAACACAGGATAAATTGGCACAAAGCGAGATATCTTGAGAACCAGTGCTGATAAGGAAAATAGAAGGCAGGAGAAAAGAGGTCAGCAGGCATGGAAAATCCGGGGGAAAATTATGGGTCCTTCCTCAAGGCTGTGTAAATGGTTAGCAAACACCATAAAATCTTGCTAGGGGACCTTAGCGACCACAATCCTTTTCAATTTCATACACAGACTTGTATTTGCACACATAAAGAAACTGGAGGCGTGCTTCCTAAGGTAGATGAGAAGTGTAGTTGGGAACCATCTGTAGAGAAGCCTAGGCTGGCAGGATTTCGCTCCCCCAACACCTCCTGCTTTTGAACAGCATTCCTATGCAATGACAGTTTCAAAAGTTGATTTCCCTGCAGCATGGGCTGATCTTCCAGAAACACACCCCAAAGCTGCCCTGGGTGCACAGAGCTAATTGGCCAGGCCTATGTATTGTATATCACAGGCAATGGCAAACTGGACTTCTTCACATGCACACACAATCAGTGGAGAAATTGAAAGCTGGAAAGCTAGCTACATTTTTAAAATAAATAAGATTAGTCTTAGATTAGCAAGTATACGGATATTTGATGTGCAAAATAAGTAGAATTCCAAATCGTGATTTGTCAGTCATCTGAAACTGTGATTTGTATTGATATAATCTTATTCAACACAAAGCAATTCCTTCAATAATATTTTTGGAGGCAATGATTTATTAATATATGCAAACACTAAAATACAGTGCCTAGAAGAATACTGTTTAATCAGGGTTACTGTTGTATCTTATCAGGTTTTTCAGTGACATAAGGTGATAATTGTGTAAAAGAAATCCTTCTGTGTTTGGCTCTGAGCTTTGTAATTTTCCTGTCTGTGTGCAAGCCATCTTGTGCTAGGTTTGCCCGTTTCTTTCTAGAGTTTAAGTGACTTTGAGTTTTGCTTAGCAGTTGTTCAAAACAAGGAACATATTAAGTTTCTTGTGTCTGGAATTGGCTTTGGACTACAGTGGTACCTCGGATTACAAACACTTTGGGTTACAGACTCCACTAACCCGGAAGTAGTACCTCGGGTTAAGAACTTTACCTCAGGATGAGAACAGAAATCGCGCACCGGTGGCGCAGCTGCAGTGTGAGGCTCCATTAGCTAAAGTGGTACCTCAGGTTAAGAACAGTTTCAGGTTAAGAACGGCCCTCCGGAACGAATTAAGGACGTAACCGGAGGTACCACTGTAGCAGCAAGTTTTCTCTCACCGTAGTGCAAACCACTGGAAAAGAATAGCACAGTCTCACAGTCTAGGGTTGTCAGACACAACATTTCCTCCTTCAGGGAGGACATACATGCCGATAAGCACATTGACAAAGATATGGGTCAGATAAAGCTCAGTCAGCTAAATTTAAAACAATACATTGAAAAGGAAAACAATGACGTTTCTCATACTTCTGGCATTAGGTTATATCTTGGTATGGAACACAAGTGACAGCTTTCAGATTACATATTAAAATTATACACAGGAGTTTGTAGGACAGAAATATCAGTAATTTGTAAATTACAAATAAAGAGCACTCAAGAGGGATAGCTATATTAGTCTGCTGCAGCAAAAGCAACAAACCTTTGGCACCTTAGAGAACAACAGATTTAATGTAGCATCAATTTTCCTAAACTAAAGTCCACATTGTCAGAAGATAATGGAGATTTTTACACAGATAACAGTTCAAATGTGATAAATCCAATTATAGAATAACATATATTCTGACTAAATAACTATATTGAGAAGCATGTTCCCATGCAAGAAACCTGAGCTGTCTGCTGACCAGCAAGTTTGCATATTAGCTCGAAAGAGTAAAGAGACATCCATGCTTTGTGAAACACAAGTTTTAGGAGAATAGCTCTGTTTCCAAAAATGTACTTTCAAAACAATCAGAACTATTCCTATTTCCCACATGGTATGACCTGCTGAAACAGATAACACAGCCTACAGGATCCTGCGTGCTTGATAAAAACCTCCAGCTGCGCTATCTGCAAGCCTTTTCTGAGAATGAGTCACACTGAGGGTATCCAAGTCAGAGGTCACACATTCATCAAATGTCATTCAAATATATGAAGAAGGGGTACAAATCCAGATCCACACTTCACAAAGATAGCACTCCTATATCTGGCTGGGCCCTGCTAGATCACAGCTCTACAGCTAGCAGCTTTAAAATAATGTAAACACATATTCCATTCAATCAACATGAAACCAGCTTACCAAACTTCATAGACCAACAAGGCCAAATCAGTTAATGCTGGGGCTCTCAAACAGGAGTCCCCTGGGGATTAGCAAGGCTTATTACCCAATGAGATCCCCTCCGCCCCTGCTTCAGGTGTTTCTTGCCTCCAGGACCTTTGCACTCTTCCTTTGTAAATTGGAGAAAAGTCCACAGCTCAATTGTCTGGCAACACCTGGGCTCCGAATGCAGTGCATTCAAGAGAAAATATCAATAGCCCCTTATCTTTTGTACACAAGGCACTTCCTCAAATGTCCACCCAGGCCTCAAACCTATTCTTTTTAACCTTTTCCCCTCTGAGTTTTGATGTCCTGTTGTTCCTGCCTTAGTTATCATACAATGGATCCTGGCCCTGCACATTTACCCAATCCCACCCTTATTTCCTCTAATAAGGCTTTCTGATGCTGTAATTTTTCAAGATTATGATGCCAAGAACCATCTTAATAGATGTGGAAGTAGAGGTGAGTGGCAGAAAAGCAAAGAAACAACCACCTGTAACAGGAAACACAAGCCACTGAAAATCTAGAATAGAAAGCCATTCTAAGGAATCATTCATAATCATTATTATCCTACCTTACAGAACTGTTTTACTAAGATAATGTATGAAGTGCTTCCAACATTCCAATTCAAATGCTAGGTATTATTACTATTTGCTGAGATTGCTCATGTCATACCTAGTCTATCTGGTGCCACAAAAAGATTTTTAGAGGCCAGTGTTGTGAGCGATAAAACTTTTGCATTTCAATACAATTAAACAAGTACAGGGGTATTTCTGTTTTAGCCAGGTGTGTTATCTGTATTAGGATTTGTAACCTAAAGCTACCAGTACTGGCCAAATGACATTAGTGTTCAGTGTAGACGTGACAATGGCTGCCTGCAAACCAGCTTTCTATGTTTCTGTGTAACATGGTTTAGAACTCAGAAGCTAGTCGATATGACATGCACTGCTCCCCCTCCCCTTCACCTCTCTCATACAATTCCCCTCTCCCCTTCTGTAGTCTCAAAGTTTGGAATTAAATCAAATGCTTAACATTAACCAACTTCTCTGAGTTTGCAAATCTGTTTCAACCCTAGCTTCAAGTTCTAGTGAAGACTGGAACCCTGGTAAGCAGTTACCATCGTTGGTGTTAGTGCAGATGTAACACTAAACCATGGTTAAAGCCGACAAGGGAGGGAAAGGGGGCGTTTATATAAAAAAGGAAGTGGGGAAACTCTTGTCTATGTTGACTCCTGATTCGCAAACCAACTCATGACTGAGTTTGAATTCCCCATGTTACAGCTGGAAGGGCAAAATCATATTCTCAGCTGTCTTTTTCACAACAGGGCAAACCTTTAGGTTGCTAAGAAAATTATTAAACTGGAGTTTCACCTCTGATGACAGAAGATTTAAAAAAACTTTCCTACCATGACGTTACTGACTGTTACTAAACAATTCAAGGAACAGACACTGACCTCTAAAGAATCAGTCAAACTATGGTTTAATGAACATGAATTCATCGGGATGCAAGCTGGGTCTGGCAAGACAGCCAAAGTTTGCTTTTCCTTGAATGACATTAATGAGTATGTTACTTTTTTAAAAACAAGGATGAATAGCACATTCCAACCTTTCTCTTTTTGATTTGCTAGCTGCTGCACACTGTTCAAAATCTTGATTTAGCTGCTGTAGTTTCTCTTGAAGCGTTTTCTCCCGTTCTATGCTGCCTTCATAAAACTTCACCTTCACTTCCATTGCTTTTACTTTCTCTTCCAGCAGCTTAAACTCATGGAGGATCAAATAGCTGACTCCACAATATTTACACACTGTCTCTTCCCGGGACATCTAGAAGGGAAATGGTAAGCAATATATTTAGAGAATGGATTAAATGAAGTGAAGTAGCAAATCACATACAAAGCTGAGTTAGGCCAATGGAACATCAAGCCTCAGTTGTTCACTTTGACGGGCAATGAATTTCTGGAATCTCTGACTGGAGTCATAGGTGGAATCTAGACACCTATACAAAATGCTGTGAAAATGCTTTTTTTTTTTTTAGCGTTTTGAAAAATGTATTGATTTGCCATAAGCTCATCATCGCCATCTAGTGTCACATTTGTATAATGCACTTAAAACGTTATATTTGCAGCTGTATAGCTGAGTCCATAGAATCATAGAATTGTAGAGTTGGAAGGGACCCTGATGATACAGGAATATGCAGCTGTCCCATACAGGGATCGAACCTGCAGCCTTGGCATTATCAGCACCATGCTCTAACCAACTGAGCTGTCCTGGGATCTTCTGCATTCAAAGGATGTGCTCTAGCAGTGAGCTACATCCCTTTCCCAACTGGATATAGTAGCATTAAAAAAAAGTCTAGGGGGCAGGAGAACAAGAAATCACAGCTGCTTCCCCCATCAATTAAACTGTTTGCTATATTAGCCAATGAAGGAACAAAACAGAGATTAAGATATGACCAAAAAGAAGAAGAGTCTTGCTACTTGTAAATAGCAAAGATAATCTGAGCCCCTGCGAGTGGGAATTTCTATCTGGGGAGGCTCTCCTGTTCCCTTTTCCTGCTAGCTGTAGCAACATGTAGGTGGGTGTTGCTTCTGAACAGAATTACTGTAGAGACGGAGAAGCCATTTCTACAGTGGGAACAGTGTCTTCTGTCGGGGGTTGCTGTGTTCCAGTCTTCCAACTCTGCCTTTGCCATCTGTTAGTTGCTGCAACCAGCGGGAGATGACAACAGAAAAACAGAACATGGTGGCGCTCAGGCAACTGGGGCAGGGCCATATCTCCAACCCCGGGTTAAAAGATACTGAAAGTTGCAAAAGGTCTCCATCAGGTCTCCACATAACCTAACAAGGGGAGGAAGCATTTCTCGTAAGAAGAGCCCTTCTGGATCAGACCAATGGTTCATCTAGTTCAGAATCCTGTTCTCATAGTGGCCAACCAGATGCCTATAGGAAGACTGCAAGCAACAGCACTCTTTCTACTTACGCACTCTTTTGTTCTTTAAAAGGGTTTTTTTAAAAAAAATTAAAATCAAGATACTGAGTTATTGACTCCTTTGGAGCACTTCAGACAAATGAATTATCATCTCTTGCCTGACAAAACCACATCTGCGGTCCACCAAAACCATGATTAGGGTAGTGTTCATAGAGAGCATCATGTGATGCACTGCACGTGTCACTTATGAGTCACACAGAAACTATGAAATCTGGCAGGTGTGGGATTATTAATCATCGACACAGGATGTATTTCAGCACACAATTACTTATTTGGGTGAAGCTGAGTTTCTTACAAAATATATGTTCCCCCTACACTTTCAGTTCAATAATTCTCCCCTGCAAATCACAACCCAATTTAATTACTCCTGCTTGTGTGTATGTGCAGAAACAGAAGTACTGAAACAACTTTACTCAAGCATGTAGGATTACTTCAGGTATATTCACAACATGCAAAATTTTACCTTGAGTAAAGAGGACAAGAACCACAGAACTTCCATGTGAGCACACACGTTTCTATCTGTGCTCCTGGGGTACCCTTCCTTATTGAAAACATTTGAATTCTAAGGCTACCAGAATCTGCCAAATTATAATTTGGCGTTAGAATCTGGTGCAGATGTAACAAAAGTTCTCAGCAAACTATGGTTTAGCACTCAGAAGCCAGTCCTGCTAACAGGTCTGGTGATGTCCTCCCTACACACACACCCCAAACCAATTCCCCACCTGGAGGACCACCCAAAAATAAAAATGATACAGCATGAATCCCTCCTGCATGTGCACAGGCCACCGGACCATGTTACTTTTTAAACACCTAAGAAACCTTGCTATTATGGAGACAAGCATACAAACACCAGCACCAGACTTTAGCTTAAACAATGTTCTTGAAGGGAACATAATAACTGTATTGCAAGATTAGACCAACACAGGTAGGCAGCTCACAAGAAAAGCATGGCAGTGATAGCTTTCTCATTTGCTTGTACTTAGAAGCATATGGCCTCTAAACATTGAGTGATCATACGTCATGTCATGCAGCCACTACAATAACCTCCAGCAACTCTGCAAACCCAGTCAGTGAAGGCAGTTTAGGGTTCTGAAGGGTAGGATAGAGCAATATGTAGTAGTGGAAGAAATGGCAATTTGAGACAAATAGGGGAGGCCGGTCATCAGATGAGCAAAGGCACATGGAAGGGAAACATAATGAATGGGGCAAGCAGAAGCAAGGAGCAACCTAAAGAGGCCTCCTATCAAGCAATGCAAGTTGAATGACATTCTCTTCTGAGATCACCAATGGTCACCAAAGGGAATTGGCAATATGTATGCAGCCTAAATCACCACACAAACCAGTAAAGCATTTATAATGCTGAAGTAATTGCATGATTATTTACCCAAAACCATGTCGGGACAGGACCTGTCATCAAATTATCAAATAGATTGTCAAAAAAAACAAACCCCAAAAAACAAACAAACCACCCCACAGCATATATAACTCCTCATATTTCCATGAATGAAGAAACACTTTGACTATACTACAATTATTTTAATTTTATATTCCACTCAAAGCCTTTGAGAGAAGAGGGATGACTGTTATCTGATAAGAAAGCTTCCTGTGAAGAAGGGGGAGGGAAAAAGAGATTCAAATGTAAGCAAAAGGGAAGAAAAGACAGTCAAGCCAATGAACACTAATAAGATGTAATTATGAGACAAGCCATAACCAAATTAAGCATTCCAATGCCATACCTCAGTGCTATGCATTTTAACTATTCTTTGATAAAACTATGCGTCTGAGATGTTGGCTCCAGGACTACTATGCCAGCCTTTATTTATCCTAATTCTTCTTTTTGCCTCGTGAAGCCTGATCATAGCTACAGTGGCTCTGAAGGAAATGAAAAATTAATTCTGTTTTTCCTGGCAGTTACAACCTGTGCTTGGAAATATGAAACTGTTATTCAGAATAAATACCATAAGGTTCCAAAGTACTTAAATTACTTATTGAAAGGGGACAAACTGAGCTGTAATGTGAAGGGAAGGGAGGGACTGTTATCCCAAAAAGAACATTGTGATTTCTTGCAGCATCACTGCTTCTGTCTTTCAAAATAAACAGTTTTAGACATTCCACTTCATGTCTCCAGTATGAGAGGGGAGTGGAGGGGGGGGATCCTGCTTGCGGTCTATCTGGAAATGTCACAGAAGTGTTAATTACATTATAGTTCCTAAAATGAACAAGATGCTTTTAGCATTGCTAACGAAACTGGGTTGTGTTTAGTTGAGAATTATCACAGGCTCATCTTCCTTGCTCTTCAAGAGCTTGATTGTACCTTTCACTGTATATCCCTAATCTCTCATGGGGGTGGGTGGGCAGGGGGTGGGCATCTTGGGACTCACTCTGACACTTGTCAAGATTTTAGTTCTCCATATACATGCTTGAAGCACAAGTAACTTAACTGCTCTTTTATTAAAGTATGATTAAAAGTGCCAATAATACATTTTAAGCATAAGCAACATAATGGATCAATTTGATCACAACTTAACATGCATTTGAGCCGCATCTGCCAGGTCTGTGCCTATGATTTCTGAAGTGACAAAGGACCCTACTCTTGTCCAGGTTGCACATTATACAGCAACAATTCCAATTTGTTATGTTACACATAATGGGAATATAGAGGAGGCTGGGATAATATGACACCAGGTGTGTGTGTGTGTGTGTGTGTGTGTGTGTTTAAGCCTTTTATTTGCATATCCCCACCATTCAGGAATATGTTGCCCTGCCCATGGAGGATCCATTAGGCTAGAATGCTGAGTTAAGGTGGGGAGGGACCTGGGGACAGAAGGACGTGGAACAGAAAATGCTAAGGGTTGTCCATTAAAAACCAGCAGAGTTTTGAGAAAGCAAAGGAATTTACTTGCAGGGTTCCCTTAGACTGATTGGCCATTGTGAGAAAAGGATGCTGGACTCTTCTTAAGTTCTTCTTCTATTGGCACCAAGTAATGATGTACAAAATCAAGGCTGTGGAACCTTTGGCCCACGAAGGGCTGAAGATAAATCAAGAGAGGCAGGAAAGTTTGCAGCCTTTCAGGATTTCATTGCTTTTTCTAAACCTCTCTGCCATCCCATCTCTCTCTTCCTTTCTACGCCACACCATGTCTGTGGGCTGTAGGTTCCCTACCCCAGTACTAATTGAAAGCACTCGGAGAAACAAGCTCAATATTGTTCTATTGCATTCCAACCAAGAATCCATCCCTTGGGTTAAATGGAGATAAGGGTAACTGTGTTATAAACAGAAGTTTACTTCCTTATAGACATTGCTTCAAACCAGGGATTGAGTCAGAGGTCAGCATCGTGGAGACCTGCCAAGGCTCATCAAGCCCCAGTAGGGGGCCTGATTCCAATCCCTGGAGACTCCTGGCTCTGGTGATGTTCCTCATCTTCCTGTTGCTGCCTGTTCACCTGTCTTCGCCAAGCAAGCAGAGAAAAGAATGAGAAGCAGCAGTGACCACAGCACAACTTAACATCTCCCTTTCTCTTTCTCTGGAGGTTGGTGAGGATTTGACCCGAGGTGGGGAGATGGAAGCAAATGGA